TCATTACCCACAATATATCAAAATGTATATTTGTATTTGAAATCGCAAGTAATTTGATGGTGTCCTTTCCTTGCTGTGACTCTGAATACAGAATGCATACTAATAAAATTGCCCAAAGGCTTTAAAAATTTGTGAATTGTTCAACAATCTTAAATACATTTGGCACGTCCAAATACAAATGAAAATGTAACTTTGGAAAACAAGAACTATTGAAAACATGACAATGACAACATTGCCTGTCCCCCTGTCACTGTCTTACCAGTACAAATTACTTTTTTTTTTCATTTCCTTTCTGTGTTCTATAAAGCCCTCTATCTACGACAGCATGTAAAAAGGAAATAAAAATCGATCTCATTGTAAACATGATTATCTACGTTATTGCTTTTTATTTGATTGTAGTAGGAGTATAAATTGAGAAAGCAAGAACTTTACAGTTTTTCAAAAGTATTCTAAATTAATTTTGTGTAATTTACGATACATGGAAGGAAACATTTGAAAAGTTGAAATTGTTGGATGTTGTAACATCTTTAAAACTCAGTCCTTTAGATGATTATATGACAAATGTATATACTTTACAAATATATATGTCATTTGAGAAATGTTAGGATTGTTAAAATGACAGAGAAATGAAAAAGAGTATCATGAAGTCATTTGCTGGAAAAATTAAGTTGATAGTATTTTGCGATATGCATCAGAGTGTGTCACAAAGCTGAATATTTCGAATTTATAGTTACAAAAAAAATATATTTATTTCAATTTACCGTCTTGCAAATTTTAGCCAAAAAGCAACATTTAGAAATATGAATATTGTTAACTATGCGGCAGCTATTTTAATTATTAAACATTTATTCTGTAGCATACATTTGTAGAGAGAAAATTTGTTGAAATTATGAATTTGATTGAATTGAACGTAGTTGGAACATATATGCAACAGTAGCATTATAATATAAATTGTGCACATATAGAACAGCAGATCTAGATTTGTAAGCGGCCGGTAAACCCAATCGGTTAAGTTGCGGAACTGTATTTCAGTGGCCCTGAGTTCGTGTTTCGGTCCGGCTCGGAACATTTACCTTTCAGTGCTTAATATTTTCTACATCATTGATCTTTACTTATTTTAAATCTTGATAACAGACATTTGTAATCATAAATTTGTTTTACCCTTGTTATCTATTTCCATCATTTTTCTATCTAGAAAGTACAACCTACTTAATTTCCTTTTAGTTTTGAAAATGCAGACCTTTATTCAAAGAGGTCATTTGAATACAATGAAAGATAGAGTAATGACCAACCGATGCGAGCACAAGTTAACCCTGCTGTTGTTCTGCAGATGTTTCATCGGTCAATAGCGTGGCTAGTTCAAATAAGAGTCAGTGATTCTTTGCCTCTGAAAATGACAGTAATTACCTTTATCTAGTAATTAAATCCTACTTGTTTAAATACAAGCGCCTAAGCACACAATCACCACCAGATAGGCAGAAAAAAGACTTATTTTGTTTGGATATACGATTTTGTTGACGTGTTGCTCAATGTAGTCGTAGTCTATGACATACATTGTCGCTCAACTACACCTAGATTTTATGGTTTCTGAGAGTCTTTTAACCGTCATTTATTTGTCTATTTCGTCAATCTCTCACGTTTAATTAGGTCAACGACTTAGCCAATAAGAAGGAATATATCACGCTTTTAACATCTATATTTTCGTCGCTCATCTCCCTCCGTGTAGCCGGTTTGTTCTTTTTTCTTCTTTCTTTACTACTAGCACTGATTGCATTTTCTTCTAACAACCATTGAATGAAACAGGACTCTGAATAACTTTAATTATAATTTCACAATCAGTATTTATTTTTATCAATATTATATTAATTATAATTATATTTCACAGATTGTACCAAATATGTTTGTAATGCTGAAGAAAATTTGAATCAAAATTAGAATATGATTTTTAAAGCTTCAATTTAAGTATAATATAATCGTTTGAAATAAGACCAGTTTGAATTTGCAGGAGCCGTACAACATTGTATTACAGTGAAAAATGAAATAATAAATACAAAACAGTTATCTTTTTGATCAAATATTATAAGCAATGGTAACGTTTAAGGTTAAAAACATTAAGTTCATCATAACTATTGGTATGCCATTTGTTATAATATCTATAATGCATAATCTATTATCTACTAAGGCATGTCAATTTATCAAATAAACGATATTACGAAATTATCATTTATAATTAAAAAGGTATGTCTCAAAACGATTGTGATCTCGCTCAAATTATGTCATGTCGTAATTTCAATTCCATTATTATCATAAGTGTTGTTCTTGTTGATGTTGTTGATGATGTTTTGTTGATGATGCTGCTGCTGTTGTTGTTGCTGCTGTTGCTGTTGTTGTTGTCGTCGTCGTCGTCACTGAAGCTGCTGTTGTTGCTTTTTGTCATTCTCCAGACATTTAAAATCAAGATAATTATGTTTATGTATTATGTGCGATGCTTTATCTTCATGTACTACCTTCTAAAACCAAAGTAAAATAATACCATTCTGTACAGTTTTGTCATTCTATTGATAACAAGACCTCCAATATTAATAAGACTATTTAATTTTTGGTATACCTGTAACATTTATGACCCGATTGATTATAAATAATAAGGAACTTCAAGAAATCTCGTATGACTTTAAGATGCAGTGTTGTAGAACAGCTTTTGAAGGATCGTTCGATATACCCTGTAGTATGTTTCCTTTCAGCACGAGCAAGGTTGTGTAAATTCCAGATATCTTTCTTTAACTATATTTCATTTCATATCGTGGTTATTTCCTATATAATAGATGCACAAACATGAGGCAAACCTGTGTCTTGTGATGGTGAGTGAGAGCTTCTGGACATGTTAGGTATTTATCACATGAAGAAGCAAGCTTGGAAGGAAACATAATTTGCAAAAATGACTTTAAAAATACTACTTGTCAAATAGCAATGGTTTAACTTAATAGGAAATGCGTTCCGTTTTGGCAACTGTAACAGAACACAAATCTAATATAATTTGGTTTTAAAGGCTTTTCTGGCCTTTACAATATTGATAGCGTTATTGAACACATGTTTACGTAGCACATTTTTTTGTTGTTGTTTTTTGTTTTTTTTGTTGTTGAGTTTTACTTCGAATTAACATTTTAAAGGTCATATTGCGACTTTCCTGAGGGTGCAATACATCAGGCGTTCCCTCGTCGATTATGTCAAGCACGAACGGGCACCTGAGTAGAACTACCGACGTTCCTTATGCTAGCTGGAAAGAATCAAAAGTCTCTTGCAGGATTCGCACCAACAGCGGCGAAGGCCTGTCGTTGAAGTCAACCACTCGGCCACGGACGCTCCCCTCAGCCCCTCACCCCCCCCCCCTCATTGTGGTAGATATTGTTTTCTTCTTGTAATTTTAGATTTTAAAGGGTATAAAGCTATATCTTTAAAATATTTTTTTTTATAAAATTTGATAATCTTATCATAATTTTTGAATACGTTTTATCGTAAAATGTTTCTGTTATTTTACACATATGACTATATATTAAACAGCATAAAAGGATCCTGAACAAACTGTAGTTTTAGGTAAGAGTTTAACCGTTTAACAAAATTTATGATTTTGTCCGTGAATAATTCTCTCTTAAAGTGTATAAAGCTATCTATGTGAGGCAAGATTATTGCTGGGATTTTAAAAAAAAAGAATACTTCCAAAATGATTGTTTGAAATAAATATGGTAGTTAGTTGCCTTTAAATCGAATGAGACACGCATGAAATCATTACTAAACGGATAAAACCCTACTTCAAATAGCATATTAATAATTTGGTCTTGAATATTTTATCCTACATACAATAGTCATGTGTCACAAATTAAGAGACATTCTACGTTACAACTTCTTCGAGAATCGATCATAAGATTATGGAACCAATATATAATTTTACAGTTGACTCATCTTATAAAATATTTCATAAAGCTGTATACCCCTTTTTAAGAAAAATACAAACATTTCTTTGATACAAACTATTTGGATCTTTCAAATTTGAAATTGCAAGTAGCAGAGAAATAGCTTTCTACACTTCAGTCTTTGTTAAGGCTTATTTGACCGTTAAGAAATTAACTAATTCTTTTTTTTTTTTTTCATTTTTTATTTATATTTGTTTTTTGATCAAATTCATAAAATAATAATATATCATTATTAAAGGTAAAGTGTTAATGCATGTGAAAATGTGAACAAATATATACAGTTTGAACAATAAAACACAAATTAGGCAAGCTGAACATAAGAAAGTCGTTTTCGAAGAAACAAAATTTATGGACATCAACTAATGAAGTGTGATGTTTAAAGCTATCAAACCAAATAATATCATATATGACATATACGTTAGTATGATCCTTGCTAGTATGAAACTGGAATGGAACTTATTTTACGAGGAAGTAGACTTATGGAAGGAATTGCGTAAATAAAAAAATGTACAGTTCTGTAAATGTATTTTGAGCACATTATTTGATAAGTTTCTTTTCAGAGATTTTACAAAAATATATATGGCCTACACCGAATCTTTGTAAAAAAAGTAACAGTAGAAGAGGTTTAACCATTTCTATGCTAGAACCAAGGGCAGGGCGATTGCCCTTTACTGCATGTGTATTCTTTTAGTATTGAAACCCCCCGTTCCAAATGAAAATCTGGACGGATCCATTAGATAATTTCAGCTTGTAAATCGTTAATTAGAATTGGAAGAAGCATGTTTTTAAACCTAGACGTGTTTAACTAAGAATTTGCAGAAATAAAATGCGTTACTAATTGAATTTAATTATATATGTTATTGAGAACTCTGGGCATACTATCTCTTTATAAAACTTATCTGAAAAAAAATCTACATAAAATAGAATACACCCAGTCTACATTATTCATTAAGATGGTTCTTATACTTGATGTTATATCATTTATATTCCAAACACTTCACTCAATTTGAATGGCTAAGTTTGTCCATACGGTTTTATTTATTTTTTGTTAGCCCTATTAATAAAACAAACAACAAATAAAAAAACACGTTCAGCAATTGTTAACTTGGCAAGAAAGTATAAAAGTACATGACAATGATAGCAAAATGTATATTAAAAAACTCATTGTTTTTAGTTACTTCAACTGATATACACAAAATAATGATACAAGCGAATAGCATTGTTTAACCGTATACAGCTAACAATGTATACAGTTGAAACGGGAACTGTATTCGTTGGTTTAACAAATAAATCTTTTGTAGTCATGGCCGTTGCCGAGGCCTTAGATGTCGGGGTAGTCATTAAGATTGTTTTCATGGTCGAGGTTCTGTCGTCGTAGACTTAAACGTAGTCGAAGTCGTGGCCGTAGTTGCCGGCGTAGATTTTTAGGTGAAAGTTGTCATCTTTGCGTACTCGTTGTTGTAAAAGGTGTAGTTTTGGAAGTCGTCAATGTTATTATCATAAAAATAAGTCTTTACAGTCGTATTCTTGGTAGTAGCCATACAAACAGGCGTATAATTTTAGTGATAGAAATGGCTGAAGTCGTCAGTTCACGCATAAATAATTTCCATCGTTTGCTGTATACGCAGCAACTAAGCAAATTGCTATTTTTCAAATCGGCCGTCTGCTCTATAGATTTTGTTTATCAAGATTTCGATTTCCTGGGGATACTGATTTCTTTTGGTTAACATGTGATATAATAATACAAACATATAACAATAATTCCCACTGAAAGCGGCAAACCTCTTATCTTCAAACATTCAGGCTTAAAGCATCACGCCTCCGGATGAACATAACAGAAAATCTCCCGTTGTACACATACAATAATTGAAAGCCTTTAAAGTGCACTTTCTGACATTTTTGTTTCGGAAACAGTCGGCATATATGTTTTTTCTGTCGATATACTTAGTAATCTTTTCACCAGGGTTATTTGAATTATCATTTGACGGAAAGGGAAAATAACGCCATTTGTAATCCGGGACGTCCGGTATCTATGATCGTATAACTAGAAGGTGGAGGCGTGTACTACTAATCATTTTATCATTGACATCTGTACGCGTGAGCCCAAAGCACTAACACACGGTATTAACCGGGTTATTGAAAACGTATAAAAATGCAGAAAGATACCAAAATCTCAAAAATAAAACATACACGGCAAACTTATATTGTCAAATAATTGTGTTTGGTCTATAATAATTTCGTTATAATGATAACAATGAATTCAATGAAAACACGCATCTTCACGCATGCGTACTATCAATAAATGCCTGGAATCTTGGAACGGAATGGATTGGACAAAATTATCACACAAAAACCCCGATAAATGTAAAATCAGAAATTTTCACCAGGCAATAAATTTCGCATATTTTTTTGATCCGACGATTTAAAAAAATCAATAGAAAAAAAAGAATCGTCATGTATCTCAGTGTTTACATAAACCGATATAAAAGTAAAAGTTCGCAAATGTTGAGTTTTGCGAAATTATGGCAAAAATATCTGACTTTACATTATTATAACCTCCAATAATTTGAACATCTAATACAAATACTCACAAACAATGCAAACAAGTGATTAATAACCCACGAGGTTGGATGATATTTATAATACATATTGTTTAAACCAACGACGAATTCCTTCCACCATTACCACTGTTTTAATCCTCTAATCAAGTCAATTCACCATGCAGGAATAGTAAGATCTTTTGGCGAAGTAAAACACTACTTCTTTTAATAACATCTTAATAACGAAATTTCATAGAAATCAAGTAAAGTGGTTATGTATGGTTTTTGTTGTAGCATCGATTTATCACAGTTCACGTCTGCAGCAGTTGAGTGTACGTATTCAAAATTATGTAATATTCCTTTATCTTTTCATTTAATGATGATACACACTACGTTTTGCTTCGTAACAATATCAAAAATAAACATTTTGATTTTCCTTGCACTTCGAAATCTTTAAAAGAAATATACACGTGTTATCGTCAGCAGTAGAAACTACTTGATGATTTGTGTTTTACAATCTCTATATTGCATTCATTTATCAATACCTACATGGCTGAGGGTAGGTCTTCAATATCAGACTTTACCACATCGTTATTCCTACATTTGGATACCTCAAACTATGTTTCACTCATTCAACCGATCTACATATAATACAAAATAAACACTATTATTGAAAAATGAAATTTGAGCGGTTTTATAAATACTACGTATTTCCAGGTAAAAACAATAATCTAGCATTGTAAAAAACCATTCCCCCTGATATTTTGTCAATTATGGCGTGTTGATATACACAAAATATTAGGCAGTGTCATACCGAGGCCCTTTTTTTATTCAAAAAGTGATAATTAGAAGAACTGTTTTCATCTATAAATGAATAAATATCCTCTTTTTGGTGCGATATGCTGTTCATTGGAAGAAGATGACTAATTCTCGTTGGTGATCGTGTTATTTTATATCTATGTTTGTCTTTTGAGCGAATATTGTAACATGAACAGGAACACACTGAAATGTGATCGTTATATTCAGGATTTTCTTGAGCCTGAGATACAACGGTGCCATTTCCGGTAATGACGTCACCGTCAAGTCTAACAGCTGTCTGTGCTGCCGCAGCAGCTTCTAGTTCATCTCTTCGTTCGTCTTCGGTATTCATCGTTAGAAACCGTAAAACAAGCAGGTTCATCGCAGCAGATATCACTGTTAGGCCAAAAAGAATAAATATCAAACTAAAAGCTACATAATGGGGTTTGAGCTCTAGAGCATTGTGTTTCTGTAATGCTACAAGGTCACCGAACCCGATTGTTGTGAGCGTGATAAAACAGTAGTACAGTGAATCTATGTAGCTCCAACCTTCAAAATGGACGAATGCTGCAGCACCTGCCGTCAATACAATACCACTTAGGTTCATAGTCACTAAGATTAAATTTGTTTGGCTAACTTCTGTTTTCTTCATTCTCAAACACTTCTTTCCTTGTTTCATTAGAAACGTTACAAAGGTATTGAGACGTTCTCCAACGCTTTGAAACATGACGATGCACAATGGAATACCAATCAAAGCGTATGCCATACAGAAAATTTTTCCTCCGTTGGTTTGAGGAGTACTATGTCCGTATCCTGAAATACAGAATGATGTTTTGAATCATTTAGCAAGTTATAGTTCAATATTGTATATAATAATGCATGGAGTGATTTGTAGCGTATTTTCATAAAGTAAATTAACATAAAATCAATAACCAATAAACTGAGGATGAGCTTATGGAATTAAGAGAGACTGTAATTAAGTAGCATCTGGAAACGAGGCCACATATTTAGAAAATGGTTTAAATTGAATGCTAATGGCCATATGTTATTCCAAATTACGATGATTTTGGCTAGCATTGCACGTTTTCGATGCTTTGAACTTTTGGTAATTGGAACGATAATCTTGCCATTAACACTTAACCTGTTAGGTAGTGAGTATCCTTTGCCAACAGTATTAAGCCAAACAAGTATGTCTGTCCGTGCAGTCTGGCCAGGCTCTATACGGTTGATACAGTAATCTTTGTATTTTGATATCAAAATCCCTTAAACCATAAATTGACTATTCTATATTCAAAACAGAAGAAACAGGTTTGGGATTAAGATAAACATCAAGTGCGATCTGTCCATTTGAAGGCATAGGTTAAGATAATATGGTAGACAAACAAGTAGCTAATGAATTGTAACCAGGTGAGCAGCATGGTCGAATTGTGGTCGGTGATATTAAACGCTATGATATAGCGATGTAGGTTGTCAATTGGGCGCTTATTAACAGCTTGTTAGCATATAAGTGCGTCTCTCTCGTATTGATTACCAGTATACATCTTGTATAAAATATTGAAAGATAGATAACGACTTTGTTATAAATCTTGAATTAATAAGAAAGGTTAATAATACAATCTCATTTATTGCATAAAATGTAGGTTATATCTACAAGTTTATATATTTACTGTAGAATATACATTTAATCTTCGAAATTAAGAGCGATGCGCATCTTTCCAGCAATTCTATAGAAGATTAATACAAAGTAACGCTATGGGTACTATCTTAAACCTACCATGTGCAATATTCTTAAGTATCGCATGGGGAATGATTTTGCAGATGTTTCAAAGTTCATTTTCATGTTATAATGCGGAGTTCCGCCAAACCGGTGTCGATTGGGTAGGGGTACTTGGCAGTATCTTGCTTATTCCCCTGCCATCATGAACAGGCTAAATTGATTTGAGCCACGTCATGACAAAACCAACATAATGGGTTTGCGACCAGCATGGATCCAGACCATCCGCACAGTCTGATCAGGGTCCATGCTGTTCGCTTAAAAACCCTATAACAAGTAGAGAAACTGATAGCGAACAGCATGGATCCTGATCAGACTGCGCGGATGCGCAGGCTGGTCTGAATCCATGCTGGTCGCAAACCCATTATGTTGGTTTTGTCATGGCACAGCTCATTTTTAAAGCCTCTAACATTTACAAATGACACAACTATGTAATTTGTATAAGAAGTATTTGAAAAGGAAAATACATAATTTGATCGTTTCCTGAACATCGTAAATAATACCCGTTGTTTTTACTTTTGAAGCATGCTTTTCGAAGTATGTTTCCGGATAATGATCTAACGTTTTTTCAGTTGACATTTTATATATATGACGATGCAGAGCTGACTTCGTTTTATTATTTTTAAAGTATACACGCTTAAGTAACAGTTGATATAAATTTAACTTACCAATAGTAGTAATTACAGTCAATGCAAAGTAAAAGGCTCCAGCGAATTTCCACTGTACTCCGGCCTTGTATGGTACTGACCATATGATATTCTTCCTTAAAAGTTTGAAGTCAGCGTCTGAGATATTATATTGTGTCCTAATCACATATTCCTGGTGCTGTAACTTTCGCTTGTGTTCCTTTTCGAATTCGGATTCTAAAGCATCAAAAACTGCAGCTCCAACTAGCAAGTAGGTGAAAGTACAAACGATTAGAGATAATGTTCGAACGTTTTGTTTCTTCATTCTAAATAAAGTAATATTCATATGACAAGTTCGCGCATGCGCATAATCTAGCCCTGCGCGCGGTGGTCCTTTTCTGTCTTGCCATTAATTTTATCACTCTTGGATTTCTTTTTTTTTCTATATCCGATGTTTCAATCTTTAATGAACTATTTCACATGTCTAAGAATATGAATAGTTTAATACCATGAATTAATCCATCACATGTTTTATATTAGTCCTTTCTTAAAATATTGATATGCATTTTTACTATTTTTTTTATTCGTGTTAGAACTTTTAATCGAACTTTCGCCAATTTTAATGGAATGACAATCCAACCAGTATCATATATTAAGATCTCAAACATCATTAGTTCTACGCCGTTGGTTTCGTTTTATCCCCTCCATTGTATCCAATTTCAAAGGACGCTAACTAGATAGATTTACTAGTACAGAATTCCAAAGCACAGACGGACGGTACCAAACGCTTATATTATTTAAACATTCAAAATGTGTAAGCAAAAGCAGGATGCAGTAAATGACGCGATGTCCCTGTTATAACATTCAAGCATTCCTCTTTGCTTCCGTTCTAATCGTTTGTCCTTACAACTGATGCCTGCTTCTCATCGGTACATTTGCGCATACGTGTGAACAATAACTTGTTACAGGTGTAAATATCTTCAGAGTCTTCTTGCAGGAGAAATGTGCACTTGTCAAACACGAGTATTTACAACCTTGTCATCCTTGGAATCTGAAAGAACACGAAAGGAATGTTCTGTTAGAATGGTTCAATTGGATATGTAAAATAAAGACTTGATTTTCAAATAAAATGATATTGTCATGAGTCACCAAGAAGAATAATACATTACATTATATTTATTTTTTATTATTTTTTTTTTCATTTTGTTGTTGTTATTGTTGTTTGTGGTTATTGTTTTGTCTGAAGAATGACATACTGGACATTTCATAATACGTTTTTCCCGTAAACTCAGCTTTAATTATGCTGATAAATAAATCAAAAATAAATAACTTAACAACCCAAAGGTATTTCAATTTGTGTGGGTCTTTGAAAAAAATATTTGTCATCTTGGAAATATTATGTTGTTCCTTATGTGAGCCTCTTTATTCATATAACCAATTTACCAATCGAAATTACAATGGGAAATGAGATATCTTTGCGACTGCTTCGTACAATACAATACAAATGCTGATTTAATGAGGTTCTTGTACAAGAATTGGATCGGAAAAAGCACAACTTTCCTATTTTGTCCGATGAATATCGTGTGATTTTTCAATAAAGTGCTTTATCAAATTTGCATAAATTTGGGAATCATTTAATGAACATGTAAATTTGCTCTTGCGTTAACACACAAAAACTCCATGTATGTTAACAACCCTTCGTACAGGACTCATTACCGAGGTATACATTCCATAAGTAAAGTTCAACTGACTTCATCATAAACAAAAACGTAAGAAAATCTCCTAAATAACATACAATGATTCCAAGAAAATAAAAATTGATTTTATATTTTGCCTCCACAATTACGTTGTGAGACTTTGAACAAAATATTGCGTTCTCCATTTCGCAGAAATTCTTTAGTTTTAATCAGAGCTCGTGCCTCGAGGTCAATATACAAACATTTGCAAACATAAAATATAAATTTTCACAGAGTCAAACGACGGAGGTGAACAACGACAACGGCACCGTGCGAGGGTACGGAACGGGTACGGTAACGCCAACATGACTATAACAATAAATCTTTTTTTCTTTTTTTCTTTCGAAAAAAAAGCCGAGCTTAAAATGACATTTATTCCTTAGCGTTTGTTTAGAGAACAGTATTCATTAAAGTACATGTATGTTAATTGATAGCTTTTCAAACAGCCTGATAATTAGCAAACATTTTATTTAACCTTCTCGAGAAATGTTCGAGAATTAAATCATATATATGCATTCCACCATTGCCTTCTAAACAATAACTAATTAGGTGAACAAAAATTTTCTTATCGATATTTGTATTCAAAGACTAATTATCTCTGTATTACAGATCTAAATCCATTACTGTCTACGGACATTTATTGATGATGTTGTAATCAACAAGAATAATTTATACAGACAGGGATTTATTCTTGCTGAGTTAGTGCAAGCTAAACTTACTTTTTGTGACATTGTGCCCTTGCTGAGTTTATGCAAGCTATACTTACTTTTTGTGACCTTGTGTTCTAGCTGAGTAAATGCAAGCTAAACCCACTTTTTGTGACATTGTGTTCTTGCTGAGTTTATGCAAGCTATACTTACTTTTTGTGACCTTGTGTTCTTGCTGAGTTTATGCACGCTAAACTTACTTTTTGTGACCTTGTGTTCTGACTGAGTTCATGCAAGCTGAACTAACTTTTTGTGACCTTGTGTTCTTGCTGAGTTTATGCAAGCTGAACTTACCTTTGTGATCTTGTGTTCTTGCTGAGTTTATGCACGCTACGCTTACGTGTGACCTTGTGTTCTTGCTGAGTTTATGCAAGCTGAATTTACTTTTGGTGACCTTGTGTTCTTGCTGAGTTTATGCAAGCTGAACTTACTTTTGTGACATTGTGTTCTTGCTGAGTTTATGCAAGCTGAACTTACTTTTTGTGACCTTGTGTTCTTGCTGAGTTTATGCTCGCTGAACTTACTTTTTGTGACCTTGTGTTCTTGCTGAGTTTATGCACGCTGAACTTACTTTTTGTGACCTTGTGTTCTTGCTGAGTTTATGCACGCTGAACTTACTTTTTGTGACCTTGTGTTCTTGCTGAGTTTATGCTCGCTGAACTTACTTTTTGTGACCATGTGTTCTTGCTGAGTTTATGCACGCTGAACTTACTTTTTGTGACCCTGTGTTCTTGCTGAGTTTATGCTCGCTGAACTTACTTTTTGTGACCTTGTGTTCTTGCTGAGTTTATGCACGCTGAAGTTACTTTTTGTGACCTTGTGTTCTTGCTGAGTTTATGCACGCTGAACTTACTTTTTGTGACCGTGTGTTCTTGCTGAGTTTATGCTCGCTGTACTTACTTTTGTGACCATGTGTTCTTGCTGAGTTTATGCACGCTGAACTTACTTTTTTGACCTTGTGTTCTTGCTGAGTTTATGCACGCTGAAGTTACTTTTTGTGACTTTGTGTTCTTGCTGGGTTTATGCACGCTGAACTTACTTTTTGTGACCTTGTGTTATTGCTGAGTTTATGCTCGCTGAACTTACTTTTTGTGACCATGTGTTCTTGCTGAGTTTATGCACACTGAACTTACTTTATGAAACCTTGTGTTCTTGGTGTTCTTGCTGAGTTTATGCACGCTGAACTTACTTTTTGTGACCTTGTGGGATCAGAAATCCGTAATGCATAGCTATAGTAAGGTATAAGTGGAATGACACGCCATTACCTATCTACAAGAAAGGTAATAAAAACAAACCTCAATACAATACGGAATGATAGTCGTTTTTATGGGATTATATATTATGTCCATATCTTTTTTGATGTCTAACAGCCATCCAGAATTTTGCAATAAAAATCGTCTGATTGTACATACGTTTACTCAGAATAATCAAACTTGATTTTATAACCCCATTTTATCTTAGTTATTCATATATAGTTATATAACAGTGTATTGCTGATCACTGGGTCAGATAAATAAGTATTGTTACAGTATAAAATATAAAATAAATGTTTCTTTTTCACTCTTCCCTACTCCAGAGGTTTACTGTTTACATACTGATAATTCTTATTTAATTTGGTTATCGCACTAAACACATTTGTATTTATATGTATTGACAGCCCAACAAGAAATACGAGGATAATCAGTTCAAATAAAGACTGTGTTGAACCATATGTGTATTTATATCTCTGTTTTAGCTGTGAATTTTGAGCAATCTACTGAAAGAGGGATAACAAGGGTATGGTGAAAACCTGGGCAATATTTCACTTGAGAAAAAAAGTGATTATTATTGACAGCGACGTTCGCCGGAACAATCGCCATACAAAACTATTGTTCTAGCTGCATATTGAGCTAAAATGGAATGAGAAATTTACGCACATGTTTGGTTAATGATAGTAACATTAAATTTCACTTAAATTTTGATTTAACTTCCCAATTTTTAAATTAACTTTGCTTGGAAAGCCTAATTTATATGTCAGATTTTACAAGATAGAAAAACTACTATGAACCTAAATGGCATTGGTTTGGCCCTAATCAAATGGCATTTGGTCAAACGTGCAAGCCAGTTTAAGATAAATAACATTAAAACAAACTTTCATTATATAATGGGAGTTATTTCTTATAACACAACTCGGCTCAGATGTTGTATGTGAGCGTTTACACGGCATCTCCGCATGGCATTTTCCAATTACAGGAAAGTTTGAGATTTCGTGCCAGAAAATTGCACGGAATAAAACGCATTTGGGCATACATTGGTTTCACATTTATTTGGTTGACATTTAACGTTAAAGTCTTCGAGACGAAATGTCTTATTCTACATAATCGCCCTTTTCTTAGTCTTTCTATGGTTATCTTTGTTAAGCATATAATTTGGGATAACACATAGAAGAAACAAAGCTTTGTCTATTTAATTCTATGCTTTCTTTTTTTAACAAACTGTCAAATTCATTAGTCGTGCTCTTTCTCTATACCCATCTACAGAAAAATCCAATGAACTAAACATCGATTTCAACAGAAACATGAGAAACCCGATGATTGCTTTTTATCTCGTTGGTATGATTGTTTTTTGTTGTTGCTTTTTGTTGTTGGTGGTTTTTGTTGTTTTCCATCTTATAGTATTAATTCATTTTATATTATTTGTTCATTTTATATTAAAGTATATCAATAAAGAACATTTACAATGTATTAAAGTATCTAGGTTCAAGGTTTTACAATTAAATGTTATACCCTTAATGTGTTTAAGTTCACAAAGTTCAAGGTTATATCCTTTAAAGTTTCAAAGTTCAAGGTCATCATCCCCTTAATGCATCTTATCTGCTGTCGTGCGTAGCATATTTGTATAAAACATTGCTACAAAAACAAATTCTAATATGATTAAGTTTAAATCACTTATTTGAACTGATCAGTAAACAGATAATATTAAATTCAATCACAGATAATATCAAATCCAATCACTTTAATAAAACTCTGATATAAACTTTGCGTACAAGTTTTAATTTTGTTGAAATCATACTTAGACATCTCGCGGTGGGTTTTTGTTTATCTACGAACTAGGCAAAGTAAACTGAAATTGTTACAGGTATTATATAGAAATACATTTAATAAACCGTATCAGAAGGGGACGTTTGAAGTATTGCACTCGTCCGTTATATAGCGCTCTTTAAAACGTCTGTTAAGAGCGAATACGCTTATTCAGCAGAAATAAATTTGATAAGGTTAATAAATCTTCATAGTCCAAAAGTATATAATAGTGCATGAACTTGTAATCTATTCTTAATGAAATAGATATACCTTAATAACATTCAAGTAATATTACGACGCAAAAAGAATTTTTTTTTAAATAAATTTTCTCGCCACTGTTATTATTATAATTATTTTCTTTATTATTATTATTATTATTAATGTTATTATTATTATTATTATTATTATCATTATTATCATTATTTTTATTTTTATTATTATTATTATTGTTATTATTATTATTATTAATGTTATAATTATTATTATTATTATTTATTTATTATTATTTATTATTTATTATTATTATTATTATTATTATTATTATTATTATTATTATTATTATTATTACTAATGTTATAAT